AATTAATCAAAATAACTTTCTGTATGAGCATTGTGCCACCAATGGGATCATCCATTAACATACATGCACACACGGAGACACACAGACAGACATTTATCACACCATCTGTATGCTAAGCTACAATGTAAACTTTTTATATAAACTGAGATGATGCTCAATGTAGGGGTGGGGGAGAATTGTCCCTAAAGTAAAGAAAGTACAGCAGCGATTCAGTACAATTTCATAAAACATACCATTGATTAATGAAATGATCACAAATCAAGTGGCTCAACAGAGATGCAAATGAAAACTACAATTCTTTGTGCACATAAACTGCATCTGTAACTAAACGAAAAAGGCAACTTGCCACGTTCCCCTTGGAGGGAAGAACACTCAGCCTGCTGGCAGCTGCACTCGTTCAGTCCGTCCACTCTGTCTCCTCCTCGCAGCCGCCTGGGCGCATGGGTTGCAGCCGCCCCAAGGTTTCCAGAAGCTCTCACGGTGCTGCGATCCCGACTGTGGAATATACTCACCCAATTCGAATTTGTCCACAGACACTTTCTTAAAGCTTCCGAGGAAGAGTGTCTTGTATAAGATGTCTTATGCAAAGAGAAAGATTAAAGATTGTATTTTAAGCTGTTTTTATTTGCTGAGAATTTATTTCATGTAGGAGCAAAAGCACTCAGGTGCACCGAAGGAAAAGGGTGGTCGGGCATTTCTGCGGATTTGAATTTACCGTAAAACCAAAGTTCTCTGAGTTTTGAAGGCTACCAGTAAGCTTGGCTGTTAGGGCCATTATGCAAGTTAAAAGAAAATGAGCCCACGATTCTTTGGCTTTCCTCCAGACAAACATCAGTTGATTTGAAGGAAAAGGTTGTGAGGGAGAAAGGAGACAGCTGAGTTGGCAGGACACCAGGGTGCAAGGCCGGGGGCGGGGCGGGGGGCGCAGGCGGGTGGAGACAGAAAGAAGAGTAGAAAGAGCAACCAACCGGCTGCATTTCAACCTGAGAGTTGGTCGAGACCCTTTCCTAACTTGGTTTCTTTGGATCCAATGTAGATATTTTTGTGTCCGCGCAACCTGTGGTTAGGTCAAATATTAACAAAAAACAGTAAGTTTTGTTGAAGTCCAGGAACATTTTGACTCTGCAGTAGATTTTCCTCTCGCTAATACCGTTGCAGAATATGTCCTCTGGTCAGCGAAGGTCGCGCTTCGCTACCATCCCCCACCCGGATGGTAAGCATGGCACCGCCTCCCTCTCCAGTGCAGCCACCGCCGGTCCGGCTCAGGCTGCACATTGTAACAACACGAATTCTTTCCATCCACGAACACGGGATATATTTTCACTCATTCCTGTCTTCTGTTTCTTTCATCAGTGTTTGGTAGTTTTCAACGCAAAGACCTTTCACCTCCTTAACTAAGTTTAGTCCTAAACCTTTTATTGTTTTGATGCTGTAGTGAATGGGGCTATCTTCTTTATTTGTTATGTGTTTCAGATAATTTGTCATTTGTGTATAGAAATGCTACTGACTTTTTGCATGTTAATTTCATATCCTGCAACTTTATTGAATTTGCTGATTATTTATGGATGGAGTCTTTAGGGTTTTCTGTGTATAAAATCATGTCGTCTGCAGGTAAGGGTAATTTTACTTCGTCCTTTTTGATTCCTGGTTCATTTTATTCTGTGTGTATGTCTTCTGATTCTTTTTCTTGCCTGGTCGCTCTGGTTAGGGCTTCCAATGCGATGTTGAATGAAAGTGGTAGTAGTGGGCACCCCTGTGTTGGTCCTGAGCTTAAAGGAAAAGTCTCATCTTTTCTCCATTGGCTGTGATGGCAGCTGGGGGCTGGTCATGCACGGCCTTTATTATGGGAGGCGCATGCCTCCCACACCTAATTCGTGGAGAGTTTTTATCATGAATGAATGTTGAATTTTATCAAATGCTTTTCTGCATCTATTGAGATGATCATATGACTTTTTCTTTTACCCTATTAAGGTGATGGATCGCAATCATTGATTTGCTTATGTCAAACCAGCCTTGTATCCCAGGGACAAATCCCACCTGATCATGGTGTTTAATCCTTTCAAGGTGCTGCTCTGTTTTACCGAGAATTTTTGCATCTATATTCATCAGGGATAGTGGCCTGTAGTTTTCCTTTCTTGTAATGTCACCGGGCTTTGTGTCGGGATGGTGCGTTGGGGAGCATTTCCTGAGCCATCCCACAGCTCGTGAATGACTTAGCAGTGAGTTTGGAGCCCACAGATCTTCGGGCTGTGGTGGTGCGTGATTCCTGCCCGGATGTGTGAACTCCTGTGGACTCACGGCCCTGGTCCGTCTGCCTTCTCAGCTCTCCGAAGACCCAGAGCCCGCGGCTGCCGCTGGCAACACGAGGAGGCCGATGGCCCCTGACCAGGGACAGCGTTGCTGTTTTCCTTGGCAGGCGATGGGCTCCCAGACTCCGTTTCACTTCAGCTTGGTTTTGGCTCTTTGCTTCCTATTTTGCAAGTGGCCAGTGAATTGCCGTTGACAAACAAATGAAACTCGTGAGCCGCCGTGGCCTAATTATTTCATCAGATAGGAAATAATTAAATTAGTATTTTAAGTTATATCTATTTTTATAATTTACAAATGTTTGTTTTTTCTGCTAGGTGCTAGGCACTATATGGGGCACTAAAACTACTATGTGGTCTACTGTTTATTTATAATTCAATTAATATTTATTAAATACTACTAAGTGCTAGATATTATTGTAGACACTGGAGATATAGAGAAGAAAAAAAACCCCTCAGGCCCCGCCGGGTAGCTCAGTTGGCTAGAGCATCGCCCCAACATGCCAAGGTTGCAGGTTCGATCCCCGGTCAGGGCACACACAAGGATCAACCGATGAGTAAATAAGTGAAACAACAAATTGATATTTCTCTCTCACAAATAAAAATTTTTAAATGTTTAAAAACAACTCACCTCAGCTAGTGTGGCTCAATGGATTGAGTGCCAGCCTGCAAAGCAAAAGGTGGCTGGTTGGATTCCTAGTGGGAGAAGTCTGCCCTGCCTGGGTTGCAGGCCAGGACCCCAGGTGGGGAAGTGGGATGTGAGAGGCAACCAGTGATGTTCCTCTCTCTCTCTTTCTCACGCCCTTCCCCTCTCTCTAAAAAAGTAAATAAGTAAAATCTTTAAAAAGCAACTCAATAAACTCTCTCTGTCCTCAAGGAACTTTTATTGGAGGCAAACACTTAACAAATGGATACATAATATGTCAGGTGGAAATGCATGAAATAAAGACAAATATTGGGTGGGAGGAGGAAGCGTAGTGAGAGTTCATGGGAGGCCTCAGTGAGACAGCAAGTTCGAGAAAGGGTGGCTGAGCCGAGACTGGAGGGAGGTGAGGGACTCGTGACACAGGCGTTTGTGGGAAGAGTTTCCAGGCCCGGTGACGGGAAGTGGGGAGGCCGTGGGGCCCTACCTGCCCTGTTCAGTGATGACCAGGGCAGCGGGCACGCCCGGAGCAGAGGGGGAAGGGACCTTTAGCAGCCATGGGAGGCCCTGTTGGGCCCGCTGCGCACTCTGGTCAGAGGGGCTGTGCCACGCTCAGTAGGGCCCCCGGGCTGTCCCCGGATGGACACTGCTGGCAGCAGGAGCCTGTCGGAGGGCTGAGCCACACCCAGGGGTCCACGCTGACCATGTGCGTAGCACCGTGCTGAGAGCTGCGGGGCTAAAAGCAGCAGCACCAGGCAGGACGCCTGAGTCTGCCTTCTGCCTCCTCCTGCTTAGATGTCCCAGAGCCCGTGCTTCTCTGGGCCTCGGTTTCCACCGGGAGACAGAACGACCTAGCGGCCGGGAGCTCAGGCTTCGGGGTCTGACAGAGGCGACCCATTCCAGCCGCAACCCTCGGCAGCCGAGTGAGCCAGCACCGTCGGCTCCCACTCAGCCTCCATCTTCCCTTCTGTACAGTGGGCGTTATCACAGGAGGCCGTCACGGAGCTGTTGAAAAGGATTATGGGCAGTCACACAGGAGAACGCCGGCACATGGAGCTGAGAAGAACAGAAAGAAGCAGACGGACATGGCGTCTGTACACTGTCCTCGTGAAAGGTCAGTGAGTATTCTGCAGAAACTTCATAGATGTGTGCAAAATCTGACAATCTACGCAAGAGCGGCGTGGGGGCTTATTCTGAAGAGGGGCCTCGGAAGCAGCCTTAGCACATCTCCTGGGGTCAGGCCCCACACGGCATTGACCTTCTCAACTAGACAACTGGCAGGCGCCACTCACGTGGTATGAAGGTTGGCCTCGACTTTTAACAGATGGACTTGGCCTTGCCCAGAGCTCGGGTGGGCCGAGTGTCTGTGCATCCCCTCGGCCCCTTGGAAGGAGAAGGTTTGTCTCCCCAACAGATGCTGCTTCACCCATGGACCCCACCCGCGTCTGTGCCTTTCCTCGTAGGGGCCAGCACCGTACCAATGGGCTGCCCAAGGCCACTGCCTGGAAGGAGCGTGTCTCAGAATTTCTGAGGCTGCGGCACGGAGGACGTTCTCTCTCGCTCCAGCATTCACTCCAAGGAGATGCCAAGTGAGGTGATTATGTAACTGCTCTCCGAGATAAAACGAGCTCAGCGGCTCCTTGGGACTCTCACTCGGTGCAGACCAGTCTCGTTGTCATCACTTTGAAGTCTCTAGTCACTCTCAGCAATTTCAGGGAGCATCGAAATGTCATTCTAAGGAGAACTGCTCAAAAAGTTTTATTACTTTGGGTGAATTCTTCCTTCCTTCCTTTTTTTTGGTTGTTCAAAATGTGTTGCACATTCTCTGTCCTGATTTAGTCTGTCCGTTTCGCCCTGGGCAATAGCAGAGAGCAGCTTGCGATGAATGCATACTTCGTTTGAAAAACCTAGTTTCCAGCCATCGCAGCTCTGGGAAGGGACATCAGGCATCTGAGGTCCAATGACTCTGCAGCTGCCTTATCAGGCCAGCTGGACAAGTCCGCTCGGTCTCCCAGCCTCAGTTTCTTGCTCTGTAAAATGGAACCAGAATGGTATTCTCCGGCTTCACTCCTACAAAGAGTGTAAAACATAAATTAATAAGTCACCTTTCTTAATGTGTCGGGATGCCCTGGAGGTTGGGCTGCAGGCACGCTGTCGACTGCCACTGTTTCCCCCGAGAAACCGAGGTGGACGGGAGGCAGCTCAGTCATCCTCACCAAGAGCCTGCAAGGCTCACATGCACCAGCTTGAGCTCCACTCGAAATATAGGGGGTGCTCCCAGCAGGGCTGCCGCAGTGTCCTCCAGTGCCCCCCAAACTGGAGGAAAGCCAGGTAGAAATGTCACCGAACTGATGCAGGACTGATTCCAGTCATTTTTCTGTGACTGGTCACGCCTGGGGCTCAGGTTCCTGTCAGTTTCCTGGTGCTTCTCTGCCTGCTCCGCAGACCGACTTTTCCAGTCTCTCCCGGGGTCCCCTGCTCACAGCTCTGACTCTCCTGACCTTCGCTCCACCACAGGAATCCGACGGTCAGTGCAACTGTCCCTCGTGTGAGGAGGAAGGGAAGGTGAGTGTGGTGCAAACATGAGACGGGTTCATAGACTCAGAGCCGGAGGGGCCGGCAGACCAGCGGTTTAGGCCTCCGGGGCGCACGGGTGGTTCATGCTAGATCTCAGGCCGAGGTCTTTGGTGACCGGCTTGCTGCTCTGGCTGCTCCCCCAGGCTGCCACCTGCATTGGTCAGAAGTGACACTGGGGTCTTGACTGTGTTGTGCCAGAACGGATACCCCGAGATTGAGCTGGGACGAGGTTGCTCAGTGTGGGGTGAGAACGGACCAAGTGACGAGAGAAAACCAGGGCACACATTGGTGAGTGAAGGGGCAGCAGAGCGAGCCCTGAAGCAGACCAGGCCATGCCAATGCCCACAGGGAGGTCTCGCCATGCTGGCTGTCCCAGGTGGGGAAGTTGGCATTGGGCGTAGCCCCCCGCCCTGGAGCAGAGTGCCAGCACCTTAGAGAGCTGTCGGGTGCATCACCCACCCGTGTAAATGAGAGGAGAACGGGGCAGAGTCGGGGACGGATGGCACACCCTCACTCCCATCCCTCCCCTCCCAGCTCCCCCCCAACTCGTCTCACCACCAGCCCACCCCGACTCACTCGGCTCCGTCCCCTGGGTGCAGCTCCGCCCCGTAGCCCTGATGCAGTGACTCGGCCTGCCCTCTGCACTTGGACTTGGACCTGCTGTATCCTTTTCTATCTTTGACTGCTTCTTCCATGCACATTCCCATTACAGAGTTTGTCCCTGCAGACGAGCAGCACAGACTTTCATGTCCGTCTCTCTGCTGCTGTGGACTGTGAGTTCGCGGGAAGCAGACACGGGGAAGTACACGGGTTTGGGGTCAGTCCGAACTGCCGGCGCTCGGCCACTCTCTCCACAAGGAAGCTGAAACTTCCCCTCTGACCCACTTTTCTTATCTACACAATGAGGAGAAGAATGCCTCCTCCTCACTGGTGAAGCCCTGGCCAGGCGGCTCAGTTGGCTGGAGTGTCAATCTGTACACCCGAGGTTGGCGGGTTTGGTTCCCGGTCAGGGTGCATGCCTAGGTTGCTACTTTGGTCCCCGATTGGAGGGTGTGTGGGAGGCAACCCACCGATGTTTCTCTCTCAAACAGACGTCTCCCTCTCTCTCACTTTCCCTCTCCCGGAGTCTATCCTTGGCTGAGGGTTAAACAACATACCTGCAGTGAAGAATGTTGTAAGGATTAAGTGGGATGACTCACAGCAGGAGTTTAGCACGTGCTTGGCACACGAGGCTGGTAGCTCCCGCTGTTCACGTGGTTCCCTGGGGCCCCGCCCAGGCCCGCACGCAGTGGGCGCCCCGTGGCACTGTCTCAGTGTGCGGGAGGGTCACTGGGACTGCACCCGTGTCCCTCGGGCAGCACAGGGCTGGTGGGGCCACGTGCCTTGGGGGTGTCCGAGTCCCGGGTCTGGGATAACAAGGCACAGCTGCCCTCTGACCGTGAGTCAGGCGTCCCTGGGGCCGCTTACATGCCACCTGAGAGCCGTGGGCCATCCAGGGGATCAGTTCCCGGTCGCCAGCTGAGGGAGCCAGACTTCCCCCCAACAGTCACAGGACAGGAGGGGCCGTTGCCCTGTGATAAGGTGTGTGGCCCACGGACAACAGGACTGCCCCCGGGGCCTCCGGGTGGAGCAAGGCCCGAAGAGGGTGTGGCAGCCCCGTTGGTTCAAGGCCAAGGGTAGAGGTTTGGTCTGGCAGTGACTGAGCAAACACGCGGGTGAAGCCTGCGGCAGGACGTCACGTCCCAGCATAAAAACCAGCGTCAAATGACTGAGACGACCAGCAGCCCAGCCACCCAGGTCCCTTCAGCTCGGTCGTCTGACACCCGAGTCCAGATTCGGGGCATCCTCACCGTTCCCACCACGCTTCGCTCAGGTTGGTGAGAACGCCCCGTTCCGCCCCCGCCCTGGCTGAGCGGCAGTGGGGCAAGAGCCGGCGTGTCTGGGAGGACGGTCTACAATGTAAAGACCAAAACGGAAAGCCTGCCGAGAGGGAGGTTTATATAAAAATAATTGAAGTGATCGGCTTATGTTAGGAATGTAGGTTCTATAGCATTCTTGGGGAACGTGACGGTCCCAGCCACGTTTAAGCCAGATATATATCTTATACATCTCCTAATGAATGTAAACCTTCCGGGGGCTTCAGGTGATCCCTTGACATTTGGGCCGATGTTTGGCTCTGAACGTTTACACGAGCGTGACAGTGATAAAGGCAGGACGTCCGTTACCCCGGCGTTCCCACGAAGCCAGTGTGGGAGCGGGGGCGTGCCAGCTGCTGGCCGCGGGAGCTGTGTCGGGCCTTCCCTTGGCCGGGAACAGCTGGACTTGCAGTGGCCGGAGGTGACAGGGCTGGCCTGCAGGGGCCATGGCAAAGACGTGCAGCCAAGGGGAGCCGTGAGCAGCTAGGCAGAGGGCTCAGAGACCTGCAGCGACACCGAGGCCTTCCAGTGTGGTCCTGGGCGCATGCATGTCCCAGGGTCACACAGGCCTGGAGCTCAGACCAACCAGGTCAGGACGAGGCTGACACAGATGGAAAACAGGTCAAAACCCAGGCGGCAAATAACATGTCTGCGTGCCATTTGTACTTGAATCCTGCCCCAAAGCCGTTGGCAGCCCCTGAACGACCCTGCGGTGGGGACAGGATGCCTGTGGGGCCACATGGGGTCTTGAACAATATCCATCTGGGGACCCAGAAGTCACACATGCCCAGGTCACGGTACCATGTTTGCCCCCCCCACAAAAATCAAAGCCTGGTTCTCCATCATTATTCCCTCTCAGGAAAATGTTGATGTTCAAGATTTCCTCTTGTGTATTATTTCTCATTATCACAACAGAGGAGCATTCTTCAGGACAACGGAATTAAATTTATTTCCCTTCCCCCCTTCCCCCCGAGTCCCCCACTCACTCCCGGGCCTGCGGGGGCTCTGCTGTCTGCTGCGGCCCAGGCCTCGCCTCATTTTCCAGTTTTCAAAATGACCTTCCCAAGGAGGCTGCTTCTCTTTCCTTCCCCCCATGGGAATCGGAGGGATCCTAGAGGGTCGCTGGCACGTGGAGACGCGGCCCCACCGTGCTCGGTGACTGTCATCCCCCCCCAAGTCCCGCTTCCTGCTGGAGGCCCGTCTTGTACAAGCAGCTCATGAATAATGGAGGCGGCAGCCAGCCTGCGTCCGTCCTATTAGCCTGCACCCTGCCCGGGTGCTCTGCGGCCCCTTTGATGCCTGTGCATTCCTCCTCCCTGACTTCCGCTGTCCTTGTCACCTCCCATTGTAGCTGCCTGCCAGGGCCCCTCGTGCCTCTGTCATTCCTTCTGTGGAGGTTTTCCTTTGGTCTAGGGTTTTTGTTTTTCTCTCTCTCATTTCTCATTATTATCCTTCAAGGTATTTTAATCAGCCCCGCTGTTGCGGGACTCCTTTGTTCTTCAGAAAATGTCGAGAGACTCAAATCCCTAAGACTTTTCTCTGTCATCTTTTTTGTGTGGTGGTTTTATTTGTATTACATTCCCCTTTCTTTCCTTTCAAACTCTCCCTGCCGGGGTTCTGGAGACACACAGAGGCATCTTCCCGTTCACAGTGGCCTTTTTTTTAGTTAGTCACGTGGCTTCTCCTCTGCCATCAGACACACGCCTGTGAGGATGTGGAGAGAAACGCCCTCCTCAGTGCACACGGCACGGCTGAGACGGGTCCCGGACGCCGTCCTGGGCCTCCAGTGTCCCAGGGACCGGGTCCTTCCCCCCCAGCTACACGTCTCATCCGCGTTGTGAGATTTCACCAGGTGAGAATCGACACCTCGTCTCAGCTTCCTCCTCTGCAAAGGGACAGGAACTGGATGAAGCAGTTGCCCGGCTCCTTTTGCTTCCTATGTGCAACTGCTAAAAGCCTCATTTCCCTTCTTGCTGTAAAAAACAGCTGCGTCTTTTCCAGACAAGCCTTTTCCTGGTGTCGCCTGCATCACTGCACTTGCTGCTCAGGCTTCTCAGCCGGTGGCAGGGCCCCTTCCTGAGCCCCGCCTCTATCTCTCCCTGTGCTGCTGCGGCCTCCTTCCTCCAACGGGAACACATCACACCAGCTGGCACTGACCCGACCCTGGACGGGGAAGGCAAACACAGGCGGACCCACTGAAAGGACTTTTGTGAGGAGCTGCGGAGGTGCCTTCGGAAGTAAAGGCGAGGCCGTGGAGTTTCTGCTCTGTGGGAGTCTGTTTGTTCAACGCCGCCCAGTCGAAGAGGGAAACACTTGCAGCCCTCTCGGCGCCGTATCCAACGGTGTTGGTCTGCAGTCCTAGAGGGCGCGTTAAGCCAGATTAACCGAATTAACCACTGGAGCCATCAGTCTGATGGATGACTCCTACATCAATTCACAGAGTGGACACGGGGACTTCAGCTGGTGCTTTCCCTTGGGTTTAGTCATCAGTGGAGCTCATGGGGGTGGGCGGTGGTCTTCGCAAATTCGGTTATCTCCACTTACAGAGGAAGTCGATGCCAGGGCTCGGAGAGGCAGTCCCTCCGAAAGTGGGAAGAAGATTCTCCATCCCCTCGATAACACTGAGCTGAGGTGAACTGTTGTTTCGCACGGCTGAGTTAAGTCACTGCGGAGTCTACTGACCACTCAGCAGGAAAACGCTGGGCAAGGCTCTGGGTGGGGCGAAGTGTCCCCACTGGGTGGGCTTCGGTACAGCAGGACGTGGTGCTAAAAGTCCAGCACTGGTGTGGTCAGGGGAGGGATGCTGCTCTTGCAGGGACCTGGGAGGACGCACCAAGGGCAGGCAGCCCACTCAGGAGCCCTAGAGTCTTTAAGCTGAATGAGAGGAGGAAACTGTTGCCCAGATACAAGGTAAAGGCTCCGGCAGGGCTGGGCAGCCCGCATCCCTGGCGGACTTCCCAGGGGGGAGTGAGTGTGGCTGGTCTCGGGGGGCCATGCCTGAGCACCAGCCCTGGCCTGCACGGGGCAGGGAAAGGCCCTCCCTTCATGAAACTTACGATCTGGTTGTAGAGAGAAGACCGACAAGATGAGATATTCCAGAGTGGAATAGAAGTTGTAAAGGAACAAGGGACTCATGGCGAAGTGATGGATAGAGAACACGAGGGTGAGAATCAAGTCAGCCCAGCCCAGAAGCACGAGCTGGACTGTTGGCAGGGGGTGGGCAGGCACACCAACCAGGGGCGCAAGCAGGCTGCCTCCTGTCCCAGGTGGAGGCGCGCAGACTGAGCCACTGGGAGGACTCAGCACCTTCCCGGAGAATAACTAGGCCTCCTTCTATTTTACTTAAAACCCCAGCTTCTTGGTCAGCCTTCTGTATCGTCCCTTCTGATGGAGACACGGATCGTGAGAAACATCTTCCATAGCAAGAAAAACACCAGTGGGAGGTGGATGACAAAGGGCAGCAGGCGTTCATTCTTGGCGGCCAGGAGACAGCAGGGGGGACAGGTGTGGGGGCAACGAGAGCACCCCCAGCATGAGGAGCAGCCCCTGGGGAACATCCGCTGGTTTGAACAGTGGCGTCCTATCTTCCTGCTTTCCAAAATCTGCCTGAGACCCAGATTCTATGTGACATCTCTGAATGTGAGCCGCCATTCTTCTTTTTACCTTGCAACCCAAAGAGAAGGTTTGATTGGCTGCCCGTCTGACCTCCATCTGAGGCAAGTCCACCTGACTCGAGGCAGGAGGGGGGTGTCCCCGTTCCAGCTGCAGTATTTCTGTGGATAGGTGAACACGCGATGTGAGTGGACGCCTGCCAGCCGCCCTGCTCCCTGGAGTCCAGGTGCCCAAAGGCAAATGCAGCTCCTCGACCAGAGGAGCTCCAGCCCCTCCCGGAGCTGCCGTAGATAGGAGCAGACGTCCTCTCCGCATGCCCTCGTGCTCCATCTCCTCTGTGTCTCCAAATTGCCATCTCTTTCTAAGGACTCCATCCTGGATTTAAGGCCCACCATAACACAGAACAACCTCACTCTAACGGATTAGCTCTGTAAGGACCCCACCTCCAAACAAGGTCACGTGCAAGGCTCTGTGAGCACCTGCACTTTGGGCACAGGGTTCAAGCTGGGTGGTCTTAGTCTGCTTGACTACCTCTGCTATTAACAGCGAGGATGAACTCAGAGGACTCTGGAAGCCGCATGTTAGTGAGAAACTCCTGTCTTAGGATTGGCTTTTCTAAATAGCGTTCAAGAGCTCAAGTCTACTGACTCCGGGCATTAAGTCAGACTTATCTTCTTAGGGCCCGGCTTTGGCTTGAATTATTAGCTCCAGACATTGACCTCTGGGTGAGGAAAGAACTATCGCTTACTCAGCCACACGGAGGCAAGGTTATTCACCTTAATATTAGATCCAAATTTTACTAGGAGTTCTGGAAGGCTGGAAGACAGCCCTCTGTCTTTCTCCTAGCAAAACTCACAACAGATTCACTTACATTTAATTGTTATTATAAAAGCAGAGACAATGAAACAGTGTATGCTAACCACAAACTACTAACCGCAGTCAATAAACTGATTTCATTCTATTAGAGTTACATTCCACAGACATACGTTATGACAAAGTGATTGCAAGAAGGATGTTTACAAATAAACACTTGCTAAATTCCTTCCTCTGAATCTGTAAACCAAGACCATTATTTCAACGTGCAGATGGAGAGACTAGACTTTAACACCTGTGACCCTCAGCGGCTCCCACCTACAGGCCCTTGCTGACCCTCGGTCTGTGGTTCTGCTTTTCCTCACCTCTCTTCCCTTTCCCGGTAAGCCCCCTTCCATCCCTACCTTTGCAAGGGTTTGAAGAGGTCCCTGCAGACCAATCTCCTGTGCCTCTTCTAAGAATTCCCAACTAGATATCAGGTTCCAGATGTTGGACTGGGCACCAGCTGTAACTTCTCCTTTCCCCCCAACACATGTGAAAAACATTTTTAAATGTATTTAGAAGCACACATCCATGCACAGAAACAAGGAATGGAAATCCCTGTAGACAGGAAATGGAGCAGTCTCCGTGAATGACAGAGGCAGAAGGAAGCCCACCACTCGCCCAGCGCAAGTGCGGGCTGCCTGGTGGTCCAGCAGTGGACCAGGTCAAAAGTCAGGCCAAGCCCGTCTCATAGGGTGGGCGTCCATCCAGGGGGCATCAGGAGGCTGGGGCTCAGGACGGAGCTGCCCACTCAGGGCTGTGGCTCGGCCGCAAACCGCCACATGTGGCCGAGGCTGGAGTGCTGTAGCTCCCACATGTTGTGGGAGCCCCGAGTCCTGTCCCTGCCAGGGCCCAGGCTGATGTTGCAATGAGAGCATCTCAGCGGAAATCCTCACACCCCACATAAGTAAGGCAGGGCCCCCCCACCTCAAAGCAGCGGCAGCAAAAGGACAGAAGTGAGCACCAACGAGGACCAGTGGACAACTGAGAGAGGCGTTTCATGCCATCAAGGAAGCGAAGGACGAAGCAGCTCCAGCGAACACAAGTAGATCACTGTAGGAAAAACAGACCGGCAAGTCTGGCAATGAGAACAGAGTCGTGAGGCAGAAACTCAGGAGATGAGCTGAATGTCAGGACAGAGCAATAGCAAATTCGTGCAGCGGAAGCTCAGACTGAAGGAACATTCCACAGTGGGTCACAAAGAAACAAAGAAAAAAATGTGGAAGAAAACTTAGGTGACACGGAGAATTGATCTAGAAGTTCCGATATCTAGCCATGAATTCTAGAGATAGAAAGTAGAGAGGAGCCTCGAGCCACAAGGCTTAACAAGTAATGCCTGGGAACTTTCCAGAAGAGAAAGGCCCAAGGCCTCAGAAAAAATATCTCACAAAAGGCTACACAGAATAAATGGTTTTAAAAATTCACACTTGGGTGCATTTTTTAAAAATTTGGACCCT